AAACAAGGTCAAACAACCTTTATACAACAAAAGGAGACTGCGACCACACAAAAGGCCACACCATCTTGGTTTTCATACCTTTGAATTTAGCCTGTTTGAATTATTTTACTACACCTATCGTCATTTAAACTAGTGAATAATCAGTCCTGATTATTTTTATCAAAGGCTAACATTTACATTCTTATACTCCTTTACTTTAAGTTTTCTATCAATATTAAATCATATTCCATAGGCCTCGTTGGGATCTTGATGAGCTTTAAATGAAGCTACAGACTTGTGTTTATCGCTGTTTTATTTGGCAGCTATCATTCCTGCCATGTCGACATAATATTAACTAGTCTATAATAGGCATAAGTAGTCTGATTCAATAAAGCTTGTAGCTTTGTTGATATATTTAGATAGATTGATTTATATAGATAAATAGATATATAAATTCTTGTTCCGCCAATGGAGCCACTCTTCCTTACCTCATGTTTCTATCGATGAGGATGTGACTTTTCATTCTGGATGTGATAACTCTTGGGATAAGCGGCACAATGAAATTGATCTTTTCAAACACCCAATACTATGCCTACCGAAGTCGTGTTTCTGGGGTTGTAATTGCCAGTTAGGTATCATTCTAGGAATTTTATTTTACGGGAAACTACCTAGATTGTATTATTTCTAGTAACTATGTACAAAATAATCTAGCAACCCTACAGTTTAATCTGGATAGTATCTTCAGACATTAGATTTAACTGATATACTGCGTGTATTACCTAAAATGCAACGATGTTCTATGAAATATCAATCTTTATTTAGCCAACGTATTAGTCACCGCATAGGAAACTGCGTCATATGAATAAACGAGTTTGAACAAAGCTTAATAAAAGCATGCGAAAAAAAAGCTGGTTTTCGATGAATCTCTTTTTTCATAATTATTAAGCTTACTTCCATTTCGAGTGAAAATGTTTGGTAAAGAGATTTGAAGGACGATACTACCAGAAGACGACGGCGGATTCCTCTTGACCAGCTGTCGTTTGGCTTTACCGTAACATTCATGGTGACGCTGTTCCCGAGGCAATCTACTTTGATTCCGGCGAAAAGGTGCTAAGCTTCCGTCCGTCATATGACCAACATGATCAGAGCAAGGTATCATCGTTCCAACCAAATTCAAGCTAACGAGTCAAGAAAACTCACTGGCAAATCCCTAAAAAGCTGTATATATATACTATAAAAAGTAAATATACCGCTTTTTATGGATTTACCGGTGAGTTTCCTTGACTCGTTAGCTTGAATTTGGCTGTGACGATGATACCTTGTTCTTATGCTATTCGTCATATGACGGACGGAAGCTTAGCACCTTTTCACCGGAATCGAAGGCGATTACCTTGAATGTTCCAGTAAAGCCAATCGACAGCTGGTCAAAAAGAATCCGCCACTGTCTTCTGGTGTAATCGACCTTTGAATCTCTTCACCAAACACATTCACTCGAAATGGAAGTAAGCAGAACGCCTATTATAAACGACCGATCTCGGCGTATAAATACCGAAAGATTAACTATATTGAATTAGGGATACTTTGTTATTGCGAAAGCATTTGAAAGTAAAATTGACAGATTCGGCCACGTTTCCCTTTGTATTGACTGGGTTTGGTGTGCATTTTCCTCAAAGGTTAACTGAGAGTAAATTAGGGTTATGATACGTTTAAATGAGGCTATTCAGAACTTACATGCTCTTGTTCGTTTGGCTTTGCCTACAAATAATAATGCAAAATATAAGCACTAAACGATTATGAGTTTGTAATTAATTATCTGAACTATGTAAGTTAATAAATTGAGGCCTCCTCAGAGCAAGTACTTGAGCGAAACTTGGCCCTTAGTATTCCATTTGACATCGGCTCGGAACTGTCAGGCGAAAGAAGTATATCGAATGCATGAAGACCAAGATGGTGTGGCCCTTAGTATGGTCGCTATCTCCTTCTGTTGTTTAGATGTTGTTTTACCCTTGTTTTCACAATTTCGCCGTTTTGTCAGGGCTACCCAGAGGAACTTACCTTGTCCGGAGTCCATATAATGCATGATAATTTCCATAATCACATCGTGAACTTGGTACATTCCAAAGATTTTCGCCGGCATCGTCAGTGAGCCTTGTCATTCTTAGCACCGCACTTCAACTCGTCAAAGAGGCACGTGAAATCGATCCTCTGATCAATTTTCCGTTAAAA